AAGGGGATCCCCCGGTAACGAACCACCCCGCTAGCCTCCATCCGCTAAACATCTGTGGAAATACAAATGTATCGTTAAGAGCTATAATTAGGTCCGATACAGCGCCGAGCCATTTTTATTTTCACGGGTTGTGTAGACAACTCGCTGAAATACCCAGTTGAACAAAATATTGAACATTAACAGTTGTATATCAAATCTAAAACTTCTTGACGATGGTGAAGAGTCAATTGAATAAAAATTACCTTGGATATTACCCATCGTCTAGTAATAAAACGTAAAAAACGTAAAACGACGTTTCGGAGATGGGGCTCTATCTCCGTCTTCAGGTTCCTACTCAGTTGGGCCCACTAGATAGAGCTACCAAGTAAATTTTTATTCAATTAACAGTTGTGCTTTAAAAAATAAAACACGTGGTTAGAAGAAACCATTCGGCGGGGGGGGGGGGGGGGGGGGGAAAAAATACTTTGGGTCAGTGGTGTGAATGGCGACGTTCCAAATGCAGGCAGATGCTTCCTACTGGAGGAAAGTTGGTTTAAAAATTAAAGCACTGCACACAGTAACAGGGAACATTGTAAGAATTATGGCAGAAGGACTAATAATATTGGATGAGAATAATAGTGAACACTGAATTTTAAGAATTTGGTAGGAAGAGGTCGAGGCCTACTTCAAGCTGTTGTATCAGTTTTTGTCGAGAATGATTCAAGTAAGCCACAAGAGTTCAGTAGAGTGTATTCCGTGGAGCAGAGTCCTGCTTTCCGATTACAAGCCAGACGTGTTTCTACTGCTCGAGGAATCGTGTAACTCAATTTTGAAAGAGGAATTTTGAAAACAGCAATATTCGGAAATATCTTGTATTTTCGAGCATCGTACCACACGTTTGACACAATAACCGTGCTTGAATGACTCTAGATTCTGATGTTTCTTCAGTATGTATGCCACAAGGACGCTTTTGGTTCTGTTAAATTGCAATAAAGCACCGTTAAATTATATGTCTATTGTGATGAAACTAGATTCATTCGTAGTCCGACAGGAGTAAAGCATTTGAAGCCAAGACTTGCAGAATCATTAAGAATATTTTTTATGTAACATAGCTGATTCGGTCACTTCACTACGCAGCAGGAAGGCAGGGTTCTGTCGCACTCGGTAATTATCTAGGTTTCCTGATTGTTCCTACTCCCTTCGAGACTTCACAGTTCGACATTCCCGCTACAGCAATCAGAGAACAAGTATATTACGTGTGGGAATTGTTTAAAAGCCCACAATTCGAACCTCTTCTAACCTAAATTAATCACTTCACACCACACATCTTAAGATTCGTTTTAATATTATCATTCTATGTACGTCTACAACTTCCTATTGGAGATTTTACATTTTATTTGCCTTTGTTTTGTCAGCAAGGTCACTGTTATTAAATTTTATAACAGTCGATATAAAAATTAAGTCTGCAAAGGTAAAATAGAGCATCGTATTACACAGCCCCCTCGGCCATGATCATTAGGTTAGCTCCCCTGATAGGGTTGTCAGGTTTTCCTTAACCCATCCATGCAAATGGAATCCACGCATGCATCAGTGCCAGCCGTCTTGGTAGGAACAGCAGGTATTTTTAAGTCGCTGGCAGAGAAATCGTGGCCACGGCAGAAAGAAGTTGGCTTTTCCCTCATCCCCATTATTTCCACAGAACTGTAACGGGTTAACAACGCGGAGAAATTCATGCGTCCCTTGACTACCGAAACAGACATAAGTGACGTAATTGATGTAGAGAGAGTTGTCATGACTAAGTGCATACACTTTTCCTCAGAATCAGAAGTCAAAACTTGCTCAGCTGATCTCAAGAAATTCCCTATCTCTTCCACGTCCAACCCATCTTACACATCTTGATCTTGTTATCTTTATAATATACAGGGTGATTAAAAAAGGACTTTACAACTTTGAAAGTGTATAGAAATTTATTCAGAAGGCTTACACAATCGGTTGAGGTGTCATTTTGTAGCAAAAGAAATCAAGTTTTAC